CTACCCCCCCTGCGCAGTCCCGCCTGAAGAACAAGACCATGGACGAGATCATCACCCGGTGGGCGACAGATCTGACCAAGTACCAGAAGGACTTCCGCGAGCAAGCAGAGAAGGTAGCAGAATGGGATCGGATGCTGGTTGAGAACGGCACCAAGGTGCAGAAGTTGTACGGCAGCACGGTTGACGCCGAGCGCGCGACCCAAGAAGTAGAGCGCCAGCTGGCGTCCGTCGAGGGCCAGCAGGAAGAGCTCAGCTCCTGGCTCGACCGGTACGAGCGTGAAGTGGACGAGATGATTTCGAAGCAAGTGGGACCGGGCGAGACTCTCCAGGGACCTGACCAGGAGCGTGAACGGACGTACGTTTTCAATAACCCTTCAATTAACCTTTGCTATGGTGCTAACAGCACGATAAAATAGATACAAAATGGCCGAGAAACTCTCCGAGCGCCTGGATGAAATGGGCAAGGATCTGACCAGCATGATTGAAGAAGTCAACGGCGCGTCCTCGACTCTCAGCAAGACGAACAAGGCTGACGAGCCGGTACGTATCTTATCTATTCCCTTCTCCCCAAGATTCTCAATGCTTAAGCTAATGAATGAACGAATGGATAGATCTCGCAAATTGTCCGCATCCTCAACTCCCACCTCGCGCAACTGCAAGTCATCGACCAAGGTACCAGCGAGCTCCAGGCCAAGGTCGACGCCGCACAGAAGGCCGGCCAGTCCCTCTCTTCGCGATTCGGATATGGTCTGGGTAGCTCTACTATGGGCGGTAGTGCGGCGGATGATTTCTATCGCTCTTACATGGGACGTCGGTAGAGGGTGTGGATTGGGTTTCTGTAAACAAACGGGTACGGGATGGTTTTTCTTAATTAACTAGGATTGGTTGTTAGTTTCTATTCTACGTCTTATTCTTTTTCTACTATTGTTGTTGTTGTTCCATGCTGCTGTTGTTGCTGTTGTGCTGCTGGTGGAGGAGTCTTGCAATGCAATGCAATCAATACAATACAATGAAATGAAATGGGAATAATGATAAACGCCATGAATGTGTGTGTTGGTAGATATTCCGGCTATGCTATGTATTGTCTTGTACAATGTATAGAGGAGAGATTACATGTTTTGCGTATGTAGGTAGGTAGGTAGGTAGGTAGACACATATCATGTCATGTCGTAGCATATCAAAAAGACATGAGGTTATGGATCCACGCTGATAGTGATTATCTGTCTGGTTGACCGATTCCATTCGATTTCGCTCGGTAGTCCGATAATAGTAGAGTAGAGTAGACAGGTATGAGTAGGTATGGTAGGTATGGGTAGCAAATCATCACATCATCCATATGATAGGAACACAAAGAAGAGAAAGGGAAAAGATATTGGTCATCTAGTTCTGCTCGCCGCCCTGGTTCTTGGTGAACTCGTCACTATAAATATAATTGTTAGCTAGCTATACACCCAAGTACATGACCGTATGGTAGAAAGACAGCGAACGTACATGTGCTTATCCAGCTCATCAAGGTGCTTGCGCTGCTCGTTGAGCTTGGCCTTCAGGGCACGGAGCCTATACATCACAGATCATTAGCTTTTCTTTCCCTGGAATATAGTAGTATGAGGGGGGGCGGGTCAGGTATACGCACTTCTCCATCTCCTTCTCGTGAACATACAAGTTCTCCTGGGCGGCTTCGCGCTTGACGAAGGAGTCACTGTTTCAATCAGTTAGTGTTAGGTACTGGTGATGATGATGATGTCATATGCTTCTACTGCATAGGACAGTACTAGCTAGGTATTGATGACACTATGTAGAGGGTAGTATTAACGTACGCATGCTGAGAACCGCCCGGCCGGGGAGCACCAGTATCGCCAGCACCCATTCTGGGAGCGAGAGCAGAGAAGGAACGAGTAGTGGTGGTGGTGAGGAGGCGGGTAGAGGACTTGGTGATGGATTGGCGGAGCATGGTTATGGTTATGGATTTGCTTTTGCAGTGATGGATGGATGGAAGATAAGGTAGGTAAGGTTATGGATGAAAGGTCAGGTGGTTGTCAGATTCGTTGGATGGATGGATGGAAGGTTCAATGAGGAGAGAGAGAGAGAGAGTAGTAAGACTGTCAGGTACTTAAGAGTAAGTGTTTCATGCAACCGGGTTGGCAGGCTAAGATTACCTAAGGTGTCGAGACCGGAGCGGATGACGTCGTTGTTGGTTGCCGGGTGGGATCATGGGGGATCATGTGATGTGGTGAGGTGAGTCAGCGGGTGGTCTGGTCAGGTGAGTGTCAAGTGACGGATGGGGGATGGGATGGTAGCCTAATTTGGTAGGATTGTTATTGGGGGCGGTGTTGGGATGTTGAGATGGGACTAAGTTAACCACATTATCATTGATCCTTCCATGGTATGGTTATTTTATTACTTTCTACTCTGTTTCTGAATCTAAGTTGTGTATCCAGTTGCATTGAGAGTTGCCTCTTCATTTACCTATCTTCTGAGGAGTGCCAGGCAAAGGGAGCATTCCTCTAAAGCGCGGATCCCTGAATGACGACTATATGCGGATTATAAGATCGCCTCCTAACGAATAGTTCAGCGCCATCATTACACAGTAATATTCCCCGAAGTTCCAGAAGCGATCCCTTGACCCATTTCAAATCAATTCATCAATCAATAATCACTAATTTAGAAGTCCTTGAACTAGATAGATAATATACTAAGTAGACAGATAGACTGTTCCCGAGCGCCGTCCGACGGTTAGCAACTTATCGTCTTTGATTGACCCTCTTTTCCCCCCCTTCCAATAATGATCCGCTGCCAATCCATCTGGCTCGGCGACGGTCTGGGATCTCAGTGGTGGGCGGGACGATTGGCGGAGGTGAAATAGGGATGACGCTGGGAGGGCCCACCGAACCACACAAAGCCAGACCCGACAGGATGAGGAGAGATGAGAGAAGAGATGGGCGTCAGGACTTGGACACTCAGGAGACTAATCTCATTCTTGGGGTTGGATAGATAGATGGATGGATGGATGGAGTTGACGGTCTATCACTGATAGCATTGTCTGTAACGAGGATCTTCTATTGCTGTCTACAGTACGTCCTCTCAAGGTATGCCCATTGGATGGATGGGGGTGGCATCATAGAAAACAGCCATGATGTGCAAGTTTCTGGGATAGGCAGCGTCCGTGTACGTCGCTCACAGACAAGGCAGGCCAGAAGAATGACCGCCGGGATTCTTTCGGATTCTCTGCCTCTCTACCCCGTGAAAGGTAGTCTGTCAGTCTGTCTTGTCTCCCTCCAGTGCCTCCACCCCCCGTCACAAGAGGAGGAAACCCACTGGAGACGGTCAATAATTCCTGTGATTGATTTCTTTTGGTATTATTAGTAGCAATAATCGTTCAGTAGTAGAATAAGTAAGTCGGGGCCGGGATCGGGGGAAAGACTGGTGTGTGTGTAAGACCGACTCCATCATGGGCTGGCCATTTGGGTTACTTGACTTTAGGGGGAAGTAGTAGTGAATAGTGAGAAGAGTATGGGGAGGCACAGCCCGGAAGCATTCATAGTATGATGGTTAGGGAGGACTGAATTGGAGAGAGATGATGATGATGCCGATGATGATGATGCTGCTTGCCATGAGGGATTCCTGGCCAGTAAGTAGTGACCGCCAACTCTGGCTGTCAGTCCTGTCTCCTTTCTGGCCGAGTCTCCCACCCCCTTCCGGCAGGCCAATTCAATTCCCTATTTCCCTCTTCTCTGCCTCTCCCCTCTCCCTTCCCTTCCTCTTCCTTCTCCTCCTTCTCTCTCTCTCTTTCTTCCCCTCTTTCCCGCCTAACTTCCCTCTAACTACTACTGCTGCTGCTAATCCTGCAACTTTCTCTCTCCATCTTCTCTCTCCTTCTCCTACTACTTTACTGCCACACACTCTCTCCTCGGTCATTCTGACTAACTCAACTCTCGTCCTTTCTCTCTCTTCTTGGTCCGTACTTTACCCTTTTCCTTTTCCATCCACATCCACATCCACACTTCCCTCCTCCCCCCCCTCCCCCTGCTTAAGTCATACTCCCTCCCCCCCCATTCCTTAAATTAAAAAAGGAAAACAAAAAGACCAGGACTCGACCAGCCCAAATCTTCCTCCCCCAATCTTGTTCCTCCATTCAACTCTACTTTCCTTCAATTCCCTTCTAACCTCTCTCTCTTTTCTTCCTTGTCAGACTATAGAATACATCTTTTCCTATCTGTTGCTTCATCTCAGGTAAGCCTTTCTCTTCGTTTTCCTTGCCGTGTCCTTTCCCCCTCTCTTCCGCGTACCAGACAATCCCAATGCCCATCCCCCTCCATCATCGTCATCCGCCGCTTTCCCCTCCTTTTCTGGCCGCGATCCCGATCGCAAATGGCGGGGTGTTGGCGGCTGGAGGCTCTGCATGTTCAGGACTTTATCCCGGACATGGGTACGCGCGCTGAATTGCCGAGTCTGGTTGGGAAGGTTGAGAGGGTGTGAGGAGGGATCCTCCTCGTTCCCTTCCCTTCCCCCCCCTCCATAACCGCCCGTCTAGACTGCGCTCTGGGAACGCAACGCAGGCAGGCAGTTCACGGCTAGCTGAGTGGAGGATCCGGCTGAATCACCACCCGCTGTTACCAAGCCTCCCCCGATCGTCGCAATGCATCCTGGTCTTGGGGGATGCGTAATGATTAGGGGTCGTGATGGCTGGGAAATTCGACTTGTTTTTTCTTCTTCCTTCAACGGCCCTCATGATGCTGGGAGACCTGATACGTATGACGGGGATTTCCCGGTAAACCAGGGAAAGGAGGGGAGGCGTTATCGCTTCCGTGTTCCTTGCACCACTTGACTTCACAGCCTCACTTTTGCCCTGTGACTGCCTCCTGCCCCTCGCTTCTCTGCACTATCGATTCTGCTCTATTGTGGCGCTTCCTCCCCAGTCGCCCGCACTCTATATCCGGAAATCTATTTATTTGCAATCTCGCCCACTAACATCTCTTCTATCATTCAGATAATCTTTCACAATGGGTCACGAAGATGCTGTCTACCTCGCCAAGCTCGCCGAGCAGGCTGAGCGCTACGAAGGTGCGTCATTCTCCCTCTCTCCGACCGCCCACTTTGCGGCTACGAGGCTCGTCTCATACTAACATGGCCGCCCTGTTCCACAGAGATGGTTGAGAACATGAAGGTCGTTGCCTCCGCCGATGTAGAGCTCACCGTCGAGGAGCGGAATCTCCTGTCTGTCGCCTACAAGAACGTTATCGGTGCCCGTCGTGCGTCCTGGAGAATCGTCACCTCCATCGAACAAAAAGAAGAGTCCAAGGGCAATGAGTCCCAGGTCTCCCTCATCAAGGAGTACCGTCAGAAGATCGAGGCTGAGCTGGCCAAGATCTGCGATGATATCCTCGAGGTTCTCGACAAGCACCTGATCCCCTCTGCCCAGAGCGGCGAGTCCAAGGTCTTTTACCACAAGATGTGCGTTGCGACCCACGCTGTTCCCACTCTCGGTGCGATCGCGATCCATGACTGACGTCTGTCTTTCCGTCTATTAGGAAGGGTGACTACCACCGTTACCTTGCCGAGTTCGCCGTTGGCGACCGCCGCAAGGGCGCCGCCGATGCTTCCCTCGAGGCCTACAAGGCCGCCACTGAGGTTGCCCAGACCGACCTTGCTCCCACCCACCCCATCCGTCTCGGTCTCGCCCTGAACTTCTCCGTCTTCTACTACGAGATCCTCAACTCCCCCGACCAGGCTTGCCACCTGGCCAAGCTCGCTTTCGACGATGCCATTGCTGGTACGTGTGGACGCTACTGCTTGACTATCAAACCGGAGGCTAACAGACATTGCAGAGCTCGACACCCTGAGCGAGGAGAGCTACAAGGACTCTACCCTGATCATGCAGCTCCTCAGAGACAACCTGGTAAGTTGATGCGGTCGCACTCGTGTTTTTCGGATCATGCTAACACTCGGTAGACTCTGTGGACCTCGTCCGAGGCCGAGCCCGCCGCCGAGGCGAGCGCCCCCGCCGAGAAGAAGGATGAGGCCCCCGCTGAGGGCGAGAAGCCCGCCGAGTAAATTCATAAATGATGACAAAAGGACTCGCGTCCGGACTTGGATAGGGTCGGCCGGCCGACAATCTGGATCTTAGACTCAGAAGGCCTGGGGTAGGAAGAGGATGATGAAGCCATTGCGCGCTTTTGGGGTTCGTTCTATCCGGCGAGCCCGGAAGGGATGGGCCTTTTGTCGGCCATTCACTGGCTGACAGGTCATGAACTTCGGGAGTCATGCATTGGATCTCTCGTCGCCTTCTTCGTCCCTGCTGGCCTTTTGGTGGCGTCGTTTGATGCCGTCAGTGGTCTCGGTCTGGTCTCTATGTCCTCGGATTGTCGCGGGGCTTCCTTTTATATCTTTATGATTTCGAGTTTTGCCTATTGTCGCAATTCCCCCCACCCCAAAGAATACCTTTCCTTGCCATCCACCCGCACTTCCACCCTAGTCAGTTCCCACCAGGACGTTGACTCTTACTTCCCGAACTCTCTTGGTTTTACCCACCTTGTGCCACGTACGGCGTTTGTTTGTCGCCTTAGCTGAGTTTAGATCTAAAGCCCGGCAGTGGCTAAAGAAATTTGAAATTTATGATCAAACATGGACATTCGTAGACTTTTCCACCGAACATGATACAGAAAGAGAAGGGAGGATGAGAGTACGAACCAAAAAGCGAACCAAATCCCGACCAAACCCATTCTATGAATAACCGACATGCATGCATACATTCATCCAGCCATACTTTCATCCCTCGCGGATACTCCGGACTCCCCCTTCCGGGAGGGTCTGTATGATATTTCTGTATTGCATACAACGCACATGCATACATGCATACCATCCCATCCAACCAACTTTTATCCCTCGATCAAAAGTACAATGCAGTATGCACGCAGCATTGTAGAGTTTTCCATCCCCTCCCTCCTCCCCCCCTTTGTTTCGCTTCTATGAGGCTAGTACGTAGTTTAGTAAGTATATTCAGAGCTATGTATAGATCAGAAGTTCCCGTTTCCACTTTTTTTATTTCCTTTACCTTTTTGGGCTAGAAAGTACTACAATGTACATGCATGTAAGGACCGACTACTACTTATATCTCAAGTGTATCAATTAGTATGATAAATAGTAGAATTTTTTTTACGTATGCATCTTAGGTGCCTGAGTATGGGCGGGGTACTAGGTAGGTCACTTGATCGTATGTTTAGATTTGATTATTCTAAGGTAGATAGATGAATGGACTACTACTAATTGAGTATGTTGTTCAGGATCACTGCTGCTTAGCAAGTAGTGAGTGATGTGTGATAGTTAGATGTCAGTGACTGACTGACTGACTGATTTCGACTTGAAACCCCCATCAAGCCATTTATTATACAATTATTTGGCTAGTAGTAACCGTGGCAACTAGCTGTGATAGTAGGAGATATTGCTTACACAGAAAGATGATAACTATTAGTATAGAATGATAGAGTTGGTCAAAGGTTTGGATGCATGATATTCATCCATCCACCTACTTTGATCAAAAAGTTAGGTTTTATCTGCAAGCAAGGATGATTGGATTTCTTCCATGACTTTTACTTACTTCCTCTTACCAGACTACATAGCTTGATGAAAAAGAAAAAAAAAGTCGGAGAGAGTATTCCATTTCCCTCTATTCGAGGAAGTTCTGAAATTTACTTGTGATTATAGTAATTACTATTCTCATTCGCATTTGAGAATATCCAACTATTGTAAAACATTTCTATTTGAGATCTTCTACATCCTTACTAGACAACAGTTCAAAATGGTAAGATACAGACTATAACTATGAAGTTAAGCTCATGCTGTAGATAGAATATCAAGATCAGTACTTACTTGGTGTTGTTATTCCAGCGTAGAAGATGTGTGTGTACCTTAAACCACCAAACCACCAATCAAATCTCAAATCTCACCTAACGAGCAAAAAAAAAAGACTATACTCCCAACCCCAAGCTTAATATCAGATCATACTATCATACTAACTCAAAACATCACATCACCTAACACATCCTCAACAGGAAATCAAAATACAAAGTACTACGATAATAGTAGTGCACAATCCACTTCCCCCCCACACCACCGATATAGTTCTATTCCCATATATACTCCGAAGTACTCCGTACTTTCTCCGACTATTCCCACCAAGGAAATCAGTAAGTAAGTGGATAAGAATAAGAATCCTCAAAGCCGATTGAAGAAAGACGGGGCGGGGCGGCTACAAACGTACGATCTTCGACCGAATTCGGTATATGTTGACGATGATGGGCGGTGATGGGTGAAGAATTGCTAGTTGACAGGTATGAAACGGGGTAAATCTTGGTCAGATTCTGAGTGTTCTGGTTTGATGAAAGGACTCCCGTGTGGGTTGTTGTTCCCCCATTGACGTGTCGAGCTGTCAACTACTAGACTGGGTCCTGTCGAGGATGGAAAATGCGGTGTGATGACTTGGTACTTCGTAGGTATGCATACGTTGTACAAAGTACGAAATACTGGTTGTCGCAATACACGTACTCATTGACTTTTACATTTACGATCTATTCTGTAGGACTCACTTTTGTCAATTTGTTTCTCATTTAATGTATCAACCGCTCGCTTCTGGGTATGTAAGCAAATGTCTTCAGAGCCAAACGTAAATCAAACCAAGTCGAATCTGAATCGTCAGTCCGGGACGATTCCAATATACATGTCGATGGGCAAGGAGGCGGTGGGGGATGGGGAGATCGGGGGGAAAAGGAATAAGGAGGAGAGGCGGCGATGAAACAGGATGGGGAGAGGATGAGGATGATGTAAACCACATGAAGATTGGCTGCTCCGTGAAAATGCTTTCCCGCCTTTTTGCAGACCTTTGCAAACAAATGCGCCCAGTGCGGTTCCAAATGTCAGAAAGTGATGAAATGAACACAACAAGTCTAAATAACGGTTCCCAGTCAAGTGTCCCAACGCCGCGCGTGCTATGCCAATACACAAAGCCTCCGGTATGATATGACAGATAGGAAAGTAAGAATAGAGGGATCAAAAGAAAAAGGAGAAGAAAAAAAAAAAAAAAAAGGTAAAAAACAGAATATGAACAGAAGAAAGGTAAGACCAGAGCACAAAAAGAGTATGTCTGAGTCGTGCACCGGATCACTGCCAAGACGGTAGGGCGTCGATCAAATTCCCTGGTAACTCCCGGTATGTGTGGATGATGTCACGACCGCAGCAGCTTCTGCGAACCCCCAACCACACGCGGAGCGCATTGACGTGGGTGGCCATAGGTGAAGCAAATCCAGCGTCGTCAGCAGATTACGGGTAGCAAGTTGGAGGTGAAGGTATGGGGCTGTTCATCGTGATCAACAGCCATGTCCCCGTTGCACGATCAGGTCCGTCCAGTAGAGTGAAGAAACGAATCGAAGGAAGGGATCTATTTGCGAAAATTCACACCTCGGGGCTTCAGCGTTGCACAAGGTTCCACCTGATGAAGCCGCAGATGTCATTTCGGAATCCCAGACACGAAGCAGTAAGTCCAAGCGGATCTTCGCGCGCATGTATCGTGTCGTATTGCTGCTCAAGTATGCGCGGCAGCCAAGAGCGTCCCATTCCGACATATGTGAGACACCTGCAGTATGTAGCGAAGAAGTGTGGCAATCACCCAAGTTCGAGGAATCATGAGGTGAATGAGAGACGTGAAGGTCATCGCATAGAAGGTTGGAGGTTTCGTAAATTTGATCTTATCGTTCGCTTTCTTCAGGGCAGCGAATTCCCGACCGCTTATCTGTATCGAATAGCCGGGATGATGATGCGGCGTCGGAGCTATTTCTGCGACTTTTTGACCTTGGTGCTACTCCTTGTCATTTCGCTCTTGGTCATGTTGCGGGTTAATCCACCAATGTAGTCTTGAAGGAATCGATTCTCGCTTTCGAGCTTATCATGGTCGGATTTGACGGCTTCGATACGTTCGGCGAGCGCCTGAAGGGAGGACTGGAGGGCCTTGGCTTGTCTGCCGAGAACACGTAACACATTAGCATCGCTTCTTCACCCCTTTCTGGTCTCTAGCGTCACTTGGCCGGAGGTTTCGGGAAATTGTCATTCGACTACTCACTCTTGTAGCGTCTGCCTGGCTTCCTTGCCCAGTCGCTCCAAATCAGCCGAGTTGCGTCGAGGGCTCATGGCGCGCGCGTCGTCAGGGGGGAATTCCTCTTCTTCGATTTCGATTTCAGGATGATCCCGTGGAACTAGTATCGAGGCACTCGGTTTCCGACTGGCCATACGAGGTCTCTCTGAGCGTCCTCTACGTTCGGTTTCGGCGTCGGAGATGGAGGATGAGGATGAGAGAGAAGACATGTGCGAACGACCGTTGTCGTTGGGCTGGGGCAGGGTTGGCACAGGAGAAGAACCGTGCACATCTGATGTTGACGCCATGGTTTTTTCAGACTCTGGTGGTGGCGCTGGTGGGTGAGTTTAAGAGTTTCTGTGGTTGACGGTGGCTTGGAAGCGAATGAGAAAAAGTCTCGGGGCGGTCGCTGAGGCAGGCTTTCCACGGTCGAGGGGTAACGGAATAGAACTACTCCCGCAAAGAAACGATTTCAGACACAGCAATTGAATATCTTCTTCACAGCTGGGCTGTGACTACCTCTAGCGATGACTTCAGATGGGAAGATCTGCGTTGTCGCTGGAGGTAGCTGGTGTAAGAGCGAGAGGTGGGTTGTTTCCCAGGGCGGCTGTTTCGTCGAGGATTCTCGGGCCGGAAAAAGTAAAAAAGGGACAACGAAAACAGCTGGGAAGAAGCAAACAGGTTCCGGCTGCCAGGGAGGAAGAGATCTCGAGAAAGAGATCAGATCAGATTTTAAGACGAGAGGGGAGGTAGAGTTGGAGAAATGAAGTCGGTCAAAGGGGAGAGAGCGACTTTGAGGGGGTGAGGGAGGGACCAGAGCGACAAGACGTGGTCCGGGTTAAGCGAACTGGAATTCGGGGGGGCGACGAGAGATGAGAGGGAGGGAGAGAGGGAGAGAGAGAGAGAGAGGTGGAGGGAAAAGATAACCACCACTTTCAGGACAAAGCAATTCAAGGATGTACCTGAAGTGATTTCCAGCTATATTCGCCTTTGTTCCTTTTTTGGGGCAAGGCAGTCTATAGGAATTAAGGATTAGGGATTAATCCAAGGTGTCGAACCCGGGTTTGAGGAAAGTTCGTTGGGCAGTCCGAAAACGGGCGGACTAAAAACTTGGACACGGGGGGAAGAGGGAGGTGGGTTTTTGGTGCTGATTTGGGTTGGGTTCGGTGGTGTTTTAGTGCAGTAGTTGCTGCGAGTGGGAAGGGAATAATAACGCTGCTGAGTGATTGATTGATGAGGGACAAGGTCTTGGGGGTGGGTGGGTGTGTGTGTGTGTCACAATCACACTTCCTCTCAAGTCACGTAAGATAAATTTAAAGAGGAAAGAAAAAAAAAGGGGGGTGTTGAATTCTTTGGGTTAAGAAAATCCCAGCGAGAGTCGGGGAGGGAGGGAAGTGGAGAGAGGAGAGGAGAGGTTTGATGAGGAAAGGGAGGACAACGAGAGATCCGACGGACAGACAGGAGAAAAGAGGAGAGGAGAAAAGAGGAGCAAAACCAGTAGCTTAAAAAAAATTGAACAACCAGCAAGATGAGTAAAAAGAGAGAGGTATGAACGCGAAGAGGGAGATTGAGAACGTCGAGGAAGTCGCTGTAAGTAGGAATAGTTCGTCGCAATAATAATCCTTGAAAGAAATAATAATAAATAAAATAATAAATTATCGTGGTCAGTTTCGCAAGCAAAAAAGACCAGCAGCAGCAAAGTAGCAGCAAAGCAAGTTAAGCAGCAGCAGCAGCAGCAGCAACAGCAAGCAGATCTGGTATGTAATAGGAATACTCCCGAGTAGGTAATAATGGGGAGAATTTATCGCGAAAAGTCGCAAAAAGGAACCACTCTTCTGCTGCGGTTGATATCCGTACCGCTTTTACATACTCTATACCACCACTACCAATACTTGTACACTTACTACTAGTAGATAGCTAATAACTGACTTGCCTGACTGACTTTGCTGCTTCTATTCTTACCGCTTCGACTAACTAGATACCTACTGAAGAGTGCCGTGACTGACGATGGACCACGTATCTATAGTAGTGAACACTAACTACGGAGTACTTCCTCCAGCAAGACCAATGGGTTAGTTAGTTAGTAGTAGTAGTAGCAGTCATGAGTCGCAGTGGGTAACTATAACAGTCAGATACCAACACACGCAGTATTGTCATGCTGGGAAATGGACACTAATCCACCACAATTTATGCGACAATTAGAGCTGGTCGCGGGGCTAATCACAGCCCTGCCTCGAGTGAATTAGGCAGGTAGCAGGGGGAAGCCGGTAACATACCGATTCCCATAATTACCCAGAGGGTACATGCCTGCTGTACTTTTGGGCAGGAAATTCACCCGGATTTGGTATGGGAGGTACAAACAGAGTACGGAGTGGTACCTCGGTGGGCTCGGTCTTACCCAGTTGGGGATTAGCGGCATCACACTAAAAGTGGGAAGACTCGTGGCCGCCACTGGAATGATAATCACCGTATTCCTGGGTACGGGGGGAGGCAAGAAATGTAAATAAAGAGAGGCGAAAAAACCAGAGACACGACAGGCAGGAAAAATGAAGATGTAGGCTTAGAAAAGAAGAGACATGAGACACATGAATAACTATGTAGAGTGAAAGAAAAGCCCAATCCCATTAAGACAACAAACCCCATCTACCAAACAGATACTACTACATCATATCACCTCACAACTACGTAAACAAGCGACTAAAAAAGTACAAAAAGATATTTGACTCTTCACTCTCGACTCTCACTCTTACTACTACTCTTCTCTCTCTGGCCATCAAATAAAAGCCGCCAGATGATTGTTTCGGTGAAGGGCCTCCGTTCGGACTGGCGTCCCGTGGTTGGTGGGCGCCGCTGCCCTTTTAGGGGTTCGTCTTGTTCCTTTCTCAGCAGTGGTTCGGTTAGTGACTGTCGGACCCAGCATTTCACGCCCCTTGGTTCGCCGCTGCCCTCCTTAGCGGGAACCCAAATCCCCTGAAGGGGGGGGCCACTCATCACCGCCAACGAGGTGTCGCTCTCGGAGGAATGGCGATGATCCTCATCATCCACCGCTAGTAGTATGACGATGATCCAATGGCCGATGATGTAGAGGCATGATGCTGCTGAGGTTGGATGGCCCTCTTACAAAGTGATTTTTGGTTCCCCTTCCCTCCTACCCCTTCCCTTCTTCTGGTTCTTCTTTTTGTTGTTGTTCTTATTGTTGCCACGGATCAATCAACACTCGCCAACATTAACAGGACGGCTCGTCTTTTCCACTTTCCCACCCCCCTCCCCTGGCACAAAAGTCACCGAATTTTGCATGTCTCCATAGCGAAGCGAATCTTTCATTTTCTCCATTCCTCCTTAGCTCCTCCTAGCAATTGCCGAGGCGGCGGCGGATCATTAAGCCACAAAAAGGGCATAAGAGTGTATCAGTACGTCAAATGGGGCGATAATAGTCAGTCAGTCGGACCTAGTCAAAACGTTCTCATCAAGTCTTCAGGGGAGGTCATGCAACGTCGATCGAGCCATCGGATTCGTGGCTTTGCCTCCATCGCCGCAAGACGGGGTCAGGATCAATATCGGAATGCTTCGCTCGACCTTTCTCTCATCGTGCCTCCCGCTACCCTGACTAGTGCCACTGATAATGCACCTAGACGGTACTACAACCGGAGGTATCTCCCCCCTCAGTTACAACCAAAAGTCTTGTAATTGCCACCACTAGTGTTTTTTGCCTGCCGTAGAAGAGATCACAAAAAAGCACATCTATCGTCTGCCTGCAGCAATAGGAAAAACGATGCATCTGTATATGGAGGAGTTGTACTTTGTGCTGGATGATCATGTATCGTCCTTTTTAGTCCCAACCCCCCAAATCTGGTAGTGGAAGTGGGCTGGCGTACTTTTCCTTCTCTGGTCGGATTTTAAGCTCCACCACAAAGGATGTCAACGGCTTGGGGCAGGACGATCCATTCCCGCGGGTTCGACACACCTTCTGACGGATCATGGCTGGGAGCGAGTGGGAGCGAGTGGGAGTGAGCAGCCAAAGCAGAACCAGGAAAGGATGTGCAGGCTGCCGATCCATCTCTCCCCATCCATCGCGCTTCGGGAACATGTGTCCATCGGAACATCGAATCACAGGGTTGATAATGTGACGAAAGTTGATTCAGATTTTCCCTTTTTCATTTTTGCCCCTGGGCTGTATGGGGTACCCCGTACGGCGCCTTCTTAACATAACACTACTAAATGGCTGGAGCCATGTATGCATTCATTCACCTACCGCGCGACAGGGATAGGAAGGCTTCCGCGCATTGCCATTCGTCGGTGCTTTGAGGATTGGTGGGCAAGTGTGAGTTAAAATTCTCCAGCCCGGCTAGGAATGGACGAAGGAAGCTTTCCGATGGTCGTGCGATGAAACTAAGAATAATAATGATAATGGTAATAAAATAACACACAGATACGGGACCCGAGATGGTGGGAATTAAACCTCAATAGAAGAAATTGCCCGACCATGGGTGAGGCTTCGGGGAAGACGCGCGCAAAATTTTCTTTCGCAGCTTAAAGGTCTTTGCGCGCGCTGACCGTCGCCGCTCACCGTGGTTCATCCTCGGGGCAACTTCAACTATGACGGGTGAGAACGTCATGAAAGTTCCTCTCATTGGACCTGTCTGTTGCCATTGCTCGTCTTGTTTGATACTTTGATTGAAATTTTGGAGCACGTCTCTTCTTGTCCACCCCCTTTGGCGGATGGTACTTTCACTTCCCCGTGCTGCAATGTACCTGACTGGCTGAATGCAAGGCTCAGCCCCGGAAGCTCTGACAAAGTACGGAGAAGTCGGGCGCTATCAGCACCAAGACACACAGGTCCCATCGATCTGATGGATGCAACTGAAACAAGTCAACGTCACAGGCGGAGCGACTAGTTATCTCGTAGGTTCTATCAAAGAACCACCAGCACCGAACAGATCGCATCTGAGCTCGACCGCTAGTACAATCGTGGCGAATTTGCAGCAAGGCGCTGCAGTTGCATACATGAGCCCCAACGGACGATGTCCGGAACGTTCCCCGGCGGCTACATCAGTTGCGCTGGGTCGGCGAAAACATTGCAAAGGTGATGTTCCGCGTCCTACTGGATGAGAAGCTCATCGCGAAGATTGGTAGCTTGGTACGCTATACCACGGAGCTATTCCTCACTCCTCGCTAGACGCGTTTTCCCTTTATGAATCCGGTTATCAACACGAGGTCGAGCAGACCTGCAGGATGAGACCCCCAACTGCAATTGAACAGCAAGTGAGCGAGCTCCGTTTTCGATGGAGGGGATGCATTCACCGGGGAGCGTTGAACAACAGAGTGCAAACTAGCCAGTGGAAAGCGTTCCTTGACCCCCGCATTGGTGCATGCAGTCGCGCTCCCCACTCAGCAAAGAGAGCGCGCGCGAAAGAGCTTGTGACCGGATGGGACCACGGCCGAACCCTTTCCTTTCCTTTTTCTCCCTTTGGGTCCTGATTTATGACAGTTGTCCACTGCCCGATGAGGATTGGGAGTAGACTTCCGCCGTATGAAGATGGAGGCAGATGAGGAGGCTTAACATGGAATCGGCAGCCGATTCAGGTAGGTAGGTACGTCAGTCCGACAGTGGTAGTAGAGGGGGGCCACCTAAGCAAGTAAGGCTAAGTCTCAGTCAGTCAGAGTTAGTTACTGTGAATTCAGTAGTGTAGTAGCCTAGGGAGGGGGGAGAAGCCCGTGACCTCATAGTGGACAAGCAGGCACCCAACTTGCAATGAAGCATCCTCTCTGGTCGAAGCGACGGGTGAAACCGAGAAAAGCGAGGATTCCCCGAAATATTACCATACATACAGAAGGAGAATACCAATGATTACGAGGACGTAAGGGTACCACGACTGGGCGGCCGCGTGACTGCCTTCTTGCTCCACTCGCCCATTCCATGGTTGACGGCCAGCATTATTATTCTTAGTTCCTGCCTACTACCCGCTACTATCGTCTATCTTCCCTACCTGTCTATCCATTTGTTCCCTTCTCTCTCTCATTCATGACTATGTAAATACCACATACTGCAACCCCACGGCATCCCAACGGGAACCACCTTGTCCAAGCTGTCCTCGCAAGTCAGACAGTTGGCTCTTACCCCCCTCCTCTCTCTTCCGTCCAGTGTCCACTTTCAGGACGAGCCCCAATGAGCCCAGTGAAGGTCAATGCCACCCTGACGAGTGACAATAAAGAACTGCCGATCTGGGATCGGCTAGTGGCTGAGGGGGTTCTCCGCTAATAAGGACACTGCTGAGTGCTAAGACTCCCAGCAAGCACCAACAGTCATGATGCCAACCCGAATTCGGTTCTACCTGGCTTGATGCCTTTACCCGATGATTTGATGTCGAGGCACGATGATGAAGGATCATCGCGACCCTGACACTTAACCCTCCGTCTCCATACCTGCTCAGATGTTGTTCAATGCTCTCACACGAAATTAACACTAGGAGAGGAGACCTGTCTGATTATCCCTCGAGTATCCACTCTCCACAGACAGAGCACGGAGGACGACCTGTCCAGCAAAATTACTCTAATCTACCACATTCCGTCCATCCACCATCATCCACAGTACACCTCGTTCAAGCCACCGATCGTCTTGCACAAAGAGAAAAATGTCTGTGTGGTGTGTGTGTCGCGCGAGAGAGAGAGAGACCTGATAACATAGACTTGAGTTGCTGCCGCCTACCCTCCTCCTCCCAACCCAATCAATAGCCAACGCAGCCATCAGTGCAGAAACGGTCAGCCAGGAAACGCCCCCTTAAACCCACCCGGCAGGTCCATAACGTCCTCCTACTACTGACCGGGGTCATTCTCCCATGGAATGTTCTTCCCCTCCTTATCGTATGGTCGGCAAGGCACAGGCACCCTACCCCCGTGGTTATAGACTTAATGTACTGTTATATGTAGTTCCACCTAGTGCTTCCAGAATAAATTAAATGATTCCTCCTAGAACCTTGGGTGTCCACCACCATCAACCAGGGGAGGGATAAAGGGGGGCACAAGGTCAATGCGTCTGCGTAGTGGCTTTCCCTTTTTCTTTTTCCCTTCCACCCATGGGCCCCCCTCCTTCATCTCTCGAGAGTAGATGCCCATTTCATTCCAAAACCTATTATGGGGCCTGAGTATCCACGGGCCCTTTAATACAGCTTACTATAGTATGGGTTCGCATACTTCGCTTATGAGTTTAAATAACCATCACTAATAACTATCCAACTAGGTTAATATATAGATATAGATTACTAATATGTTGAAGGGCTGATGATCTATTTGTTTGATAGTATTGGGAGCTGCAGTGCGTGGTTTCTTCTACCCTTTGGAAAACCAGACAGGCATCTATACAGTTTCCTTAGACTTTGCAGGGCATTTAGATCAAGTGCGTGGAGAGTAGACTTACCTACTGACTACAGCTGAGTACATCGTAGATACTTTCCCCTACTAGTAGTTATCATATGTTGATGAACGGAGAGGGCTAAGTAATTAGCCTGCTATGGGTTTCAAGCAACAACATCTGATACTGTTAGCACCTGACCTATTACTTGAGTAGTCACGTAGGTAACTAACTGCTACACTATGTAGGAACTTCATCCCGGCTTACATCATTTTATCCAGTTACACGACAACCATCTAAGTAACTAAATAGTTGAGACTAGCTAAGAGAGACACATGACCCAGCTCATTTCATCATATCACGTTACTTGCTGCAACTCAAGATACTCCGTCAAATAGTCACAACTACTACCTACCTACTTACCTACCTACCTACCCACAAAACAAAAGGAAAAGAAAAAGAAGAAAGAAAGATTAATCGATTGAACATGTCCGGTGATATCATCATCCCGCCTCACTACTTACCCAACTAACTAATCACCTTACATCTTCCTTCATCAAATAGTTAGTAGTTCAACAAGTTTCATCCAGTCAGTATACACTGCAATGCAGCAACTACTAGCTATACATCTTAGTGCCAAAGTATTTCCATCCAAGACTCCCCCCCAAATTCCCAATAACACAAAAACAGAAAAGAAAAAAAAAAGAAAAATCCAATAAAATAAAATAAAATATAACATACGCCCCCAAAAAGAATAACCCCCATCTACTTAACTTACTCACGGAGTACTCCGTACACTTCCATTCACCAACCTCTCCCAAAAGAGAAAAGAATCGAAAAGAAACAACTAACTTAATTAAACTAATTACCTATGAAGTAAGCAGTAACTAAGTAACTAAACCACGGCCCGCAAGCCATTATATCATATAGTCGGTCAAGCCAAAGAAAAAAAAAAACCACCCCCAAATCTCACACCCACTCACCAACTAAACAGACAACACATAACAACAACGACAACAACAACACAACAACACGGCACGGCACAGGACGGCACAACACATTCCATTTCCCTCCGCTCCGCTTACCATGTAAGTTAGCAATAAAAATCCATAATTCAATGAATGACATGGCCGGTCTCATCCCCGGGGAAGATCGGATCGGGGGCCCGAAAAAGCAGCAAGCACGCGGGACGGCACGGAGGGATTGAATTAACTACCAACCAACGTAATAACTAACTACTTACTGTACTTTGCAGAGTCATACCTGTCTACGGAGTAAGTACTAAGTACTAACTGTCAAGGAAAAATATAATCCGGAGGGTTTACTCTAATCGGCAGGTAGTAAGACATCCCATCTCATCATCCATTGGGTTGGGTTGTAGGGTATATTCTGCCCTTTTTTATTATTATTACTTTTTAAGTAAATGCTGGATCACTTTTTAAGTAAATGCTGGCTGCGCGCTTGTCTAGCCGAGCTGGCGGATGGATGGATGGGGTCAATCTGGTGATCCTGCCATGTGCGATGATGTTGATGATGATGTCGATGTCGTGGCTTTTCCCCGGTTTTTCATTTCCCCGGGTCCAACTAACGCAGGCTACGGAGGTTTCTTCCACGGCCATACTGCTGGCATCGGCTTATGTGGCAAATTTGTTCTGCTGATCAAGACATCATGCATGTTCTGTGTATGTACGTAGGTGAGTGATGGCTGCCGCGCCCTACAGATGACGAAGGTAATCGTGCTTCCAAAACGCCTGTTCCGGTCCTAGTGTAGGTATCCCTGAAACTCCTAACATACAATCAAACCAACCAACCCATTTGTACAGCAAGTGCTAGGCCGTCGGCCGAATGACCCGGATCATGCAAGAGACGAGGTCGTCTTCCACTGGTACAATGCCCGCAGCACCGCGACACCTCCTGACTGTGTCTCAACAGTGCGTCCGCGGCCACGATCGTTGTAGTCGTTCGGCGCATAATCGCGCTCTGTGAAACCCGACCGCTCCGGTGCAGTTCCCCAGCCCTGCAGCTGTCGTGTGGAATCGAGTCCCAGCGTCTCGTCTTCGCTGGGGCCCTTAGAGCCACGGCTGCGGAGAAGTCCCGTCAGTGCCTCTGAGTCCTCACCCTGCGCCCCATAGTTTTGATAGTCGATCGCCCCCTGCGGCAGAGGACTCACGTCGGTGGCGGTGGTGTTTCCCCACCACTCGCCGATCTTGCCGTCGCCATTCTTGGTCAACAGAGCGGCGTTGGCGTTGTGCTCGATCCAGGGGCGGTATGTTCGGCATCGTGCTTGGTGCCACTCGTATACGTACTGCCAGCCGTCTTCCCCGTCCCCTGTGCGGTTGGCACTGGCCAGAAAACGCAATTCCTGCGGCCGGATGTCTCGGCAGAACTCGGCCAAATGATGAAAGAAGATACCTTTGAAGGTTTGTCCATTTTGGGAGCAGCTCCCGGAAGAGTCGCACGCATCTTCCAACACACCTCCGCGGCCAAGCCCTTCCCACTGCTGACTGCCTTTGTCAGGCCATCCGGTAGCCAAGAGCACATCATTGACCAATCGGTGCCCGTCAGATAGATACTGCTGCAAACCGGTAGCTAACCAAAGTCCCCTTAGCCCGCTAAGGATCACTCCCTGGTTGTATGTATATACCATGGTGTTGAGAACATCACATTTGCGCGTGCCAGGATCATCGGCACTCTTCCAACCACTGATATGGAAGCCATCGCCATAGAGGCCATTGGCACCCGTCATATTTGAGGCATTTAGCCACGAATATCCCTCGATGGCCGCCTGCAGATGAGTTGGGTCGTGAGGGTAACCGTCTGACCAGTTCTCATCGTCCAATGTGGTTCCCATAAAGGGTGAATCAATAAAGTCTCCGGGGAAGTAGAGATACATCCCGATGCTAGCGGCTATGTACAGCTCATTGGTGATGGCATTCTTGTAGGGCGTCAGGTAAGGGCTCCAGATCATCCCGCCATTACACAAGGAAACGTCCCAACCCCCGGACGCAAGACCGTAGAACACACGTGCCCGATGAGCCGCCGGAGACTGAAACTGGGTTCCATGCCAGAGGCGTTTTGTTGTCTCGTTGGGTGAGAAGGGGTCATCGTAATGCAGGTCGCTGTGCAACACTTGGAACTTTATGTTCTCCAGCCAGCCCAAAACAACCCATAGCATGTCATCGAAGGCCTGGTTTCTTACAGCAAAGGCATCCTCACCGAAGTAGAATGCTGAGGTTTGGTCAAAATAATGGTTAATGAGATTCTCGAATCCCAACGAATACTGTTCAGTTATATCTTCCAGCTCTTTGTGATTCCCACTGGCATTCTCTGAAAGGAGGTTCGACAGCACATCCCCCGCCGTAGAAGTCAGTGAGGAGAGGGTGGCGGAGACATGAGTCCCAAGCACGGCAGCAGTCCAATCGATACTAGTAGGCCAGGTGCCTTGCCAAAGCTGGAAGTAGTCATCCTGCATCACATTGAGAGCATCCAGCAAATCGTTGTAAGTGCGGCTTATCGAGCCGATCGGTTCACTGGGCTTCTCTGGAGCAGGAAGGGGAAGCTGCTTTGACGGGGGATCGGTTGAATCCTCCAGCCGAATCTGCGCATTTGGAGACAATGGCGCAAGGACGTCCTGCGACCGCAACGCCAGCGCATTGGTCTCAGAGAAGACTGCAAGCAAGCAGAGCAACCTATGAATAACAAGTAACGCACGCATATTGAAGGCTTTCTAGTTGTAAGTCCCTCAAGCCCGCAGTGAACGACTGGTCTCGTGGTCCTGGACCTGGTTCCTGGTAACCCAGGGCGGAGGTACCGATAAGCAAGTGTTCGAGTAATGATTCGAGGTAACAATACGTGAGGAATGACTTTAAGCACGCAGAACTCGAGACAGACGCGGGGAGAAAGAGAGCTCAGAAAACCGCCAGCATCCAACGAGCAGCGAGAATCTAATGAGGCATATTTTAACAGTCAATGGTCCCCAGGGCGGGCCATGAACGAGGGAAGGAAGTGGCGTTGAGCGATAAGTTTTGACGTTCGGCCGTTGCGGGGAAGGAAAGACCCCCGGGCTTAACTAAGCCAGCCATTCGCCGTGCTTTTCAGCCCTCCGGCTGACTCTCCGCAGCTCAGCTGCTGCCCTCTCCCTTCCAGCCTCGTCCTCTCCACGCTTGATCGTCGGGGCCTCGTTCTTGGTATTCCATCACGCGCCTGGGCTGCGGGGATCTCATGCCCGATTCCTGCCCGCCCCCATCGACCTTCTGATCGATCCCTCGCAGAGTTTTATATAGTGTGCATCTCACGCACCTCTCTGATGACCAATAGCAGTCATTCGGATCTACAGAACTCTATCTGGACTAAGGGTCTTGGGATGATTGATGTGAGGTCGAAAGACTTGCCCATGTGCTGGACGGAAGGAGAGATCAATAGAGCAGGAATGCTACAAGTATAGCCCCATCCACATGAGCATCATGGGCAGTGGGTTTCATCTGAATTAATCTTGGAACTAGTAGGAATTTTGGGATATCCTGGCTTGATATATCATGCGAGCGAGGTTCTGCTTCAGCTAGGTCAGCGATGAGCATTCGAGCAAGCCACGAGACAAAACAGCAACGGGGACTGATGACAGAGGTCAAGAGACAGTATCGAAAAGAGGGATGGCAACGGTGAAAGGGAAGGGAAACCGGGCCGGGATGCCGGAAGAAATAACTGCACATACCATATCGCTGAGTATTTACGACGCCGGCAAATATCTCCTCTGGCTGCAAGCCTATGAGTACCCTCGTTAGAGGAGCATAAAACTGTTGTAAGAGATATTGCCGGCTGTAACTATGCTGCTCACGGCGCCCATCCAACCGTGACCAACATGCGCGCATCAAACCGACATAGTGTCGTCTGAATGGTTCAACAGCCGTGTAGTCCTTGAGGGCGAAAACAAAGGCAAAATCAAAACGCTAGACGCGACGAGGCAAGAGAAAGCAAGATATAAGGTGCCTGCCAAGGTCATAAAGTAGAGCAAACAAAAGTCAACTCCTCAATGCTGCCAGAACAATACGCTTAGTCTCTAGCCTCCTCCGCTCCAGGGCTGCGACTCCTATCGCGGCTCCTGCTGCGTCCCCGTCCACCACGACCACCTCTTTGTCCAGCATTCTTTCCTTTGTTGTTCGATGGGGGTGGCCGCACAAAGGCGAAGTCGACCTGGATTGTCTGGTCCAGCAATTTGGATCCGTTCAAAGCCTTGATGGCTTCTGAGGCTTCGGGGAGGGTGGAGTATTCAATCAACGCGTAACCCTGAAAGAAGCCGATTAGTATTTCATCTCATGTCCGATAACAGTGCAATTAATCCAGATTTATCCAGCAAAGTCCAAGAATGAAGCCTAGGCAGACGAAGAACCAAAAAATACCTACCTTCACATAACCCGTCCGGCGATCGAGGTTCAGATTGAAGTTCTTGATCTCTCCATATTCAGCAAACAGATCCGTCACGTCCTCCTCAGAGGCCTCTTCATGAATGTTGGTCGCGATGATAATCCATCCTTCGATACTGCGCACTGCAACAGCTGACGCTTGCGTTCTCGGATCAGAGGTATTGTTGCCCGACTGCGCGGGGACCTCCTCCTCCTCCTGCGCCACGGGAGGGTCGACTTCCATTTCTGTAGACATGATGGGAGGGAGATGAGACTGGATTGACCGAAATTAAAGGCTCGAGAAGGGTGGATAAAGGGAGGGATTTTCGTCCAAGGTGGGCTGTTCAATGACCAAACTGTTGCAATGCGATGGATCTTCGCGAAGCTTGCGGTGTGCTTATGTAATCGAATGATATCCAACGACGGTCAATGTTGATGGCCATATTATACTACTCTCAATGCCACGAATATTAGTCGAGATTAATGATCGACAGAAGTATAAAATAGGACTTGTGAGTGGAGATTTTATGTTTGACTAATATGTAGAGGCTTATCCCGAAAGCCTTTCATAGTAGCACTTTCATATAGGCAGTATAGTATATTGCACCAATGAACTACCAAGACATAAGAGCTAATTTGCAATTCACAAAACATGGGAATTTCAACACTGAATAATTTTTACTTTTGGAAGTTTAGTTACAGCTCCAGCGACTGAATCAGTTGGGTGTATCGCAGTGAAGATACATGTATACTAAATGCAAGCAGATCGGGTTTACTACTAGTATCTAGATACTCAATTACTGAAAGATGCAACAATTGCCAACAAAATGCTCATGAAAATGGATTGGAGATATGTACTACTCCTATCAAGAATTCTGGGGATACAACAGGCTCAAACCTAGTAGTAGCTAGCTCGGCTGTATCTCCATATTACTGTTCACCTTTTATCAATCAAGTTGCGCCTGCAAGTCATGTTGTCCACACAGAAGTTTCTCCTTTTTACAATTTTCCATTGCCTCTTCACTGAGTGAATCAGCGTCTAATCATACTTAATAGCGGCATAGTATAGTGCTTGGATTTATTCTCAATGACCACACTCGTCCTTTCGTAGAGACTGATAACATGATGTCGATGAACGGGGTAGATATGAGGGATATATGGGACTCTCTGTTGAAGACACAGAGAGATCTAAGCCGTAAGACATCCACTGCCATCAATTAAGATACTGACACCAGTAGTACTTTGTAACCATGTCGTGAAATCCCGTGTTCCTGCTGAGGATGGTGTGCTGGATCTAGTCTGAGTAGCTGAGAGCTGATAAAAGAGCTTTCCCTGCGTACTTTTAGCTACTGTAGAAACAGAGCTTTGGCTGGATATCAGTGAATTGATGCCAGCTCCTCGACGTGAATGAGATAAACACAGTGACAACATGAGACCCGTCCTCAGTTTAGCTGCCCCCGTGGCCTTCTTCGCCTTTTTACTTGCTCATCATCATCGATATTGACAAGCTATTACCCAGGATTTAAAAAGAACCACCCTTCTGCTCTCAATTTCCAGGCAAAACTCTCATTTATTGAGCGACAAAGAGAGACTGCGCCGCGATGAGCGGCAAGTCAGTCTCGAATCTACCCTGGTGAGCTCGATTTTCGGCAATTTCCCTCTCCATATGAGCAATAATCAATCTTCTAACAAATTTGATATCCTGATAGCGACGATCCCCAATGCTTCTGCCATTTTCGCTCGCCTAAGCTATATCCCAGAATCGAAGCAGTTCTGACAGGCTCTGCACCTGACCAAGTCCGCGAGCTGCACCAGCCAAACGCCAAGCTCGATATAGCATTCGACGTGGTAGGCTGTGTCATGACATTGAACGAATGCATCCACGATCCTTCTCGACCAAACATTGGCTACTCAGTCAGTCTAATGATCAAGGCGGCAAACACCCACTTTGTGAACCTCGAAGGCCTTGAAGACCACTCCCTCCTTCTAACCATTCGGATCCGCCATTCAGCATGCGCCGTGAGAGGCAACAAGATGATACTGAAGGAGAAGTTCAAAGGATACTACCCTGACCCTCCATATAGTCGACTCTACAATGATCTGTTTGAGTGTCGTTGGCCTGAAAAGACGCTCCAGATTCGTCTGCCCGAAGAGAGATGTCGACGCTGGAAGACAGTCGCTTTGATACTGAGGACCTTCGGACAGATCAACGGAGACAGCTATTGTCATATGGCGAATATGATGTTTACTCCTCGAGTGGGTGGGCTTAATGTGCGTCAGATCAAGAAGGATATCAAGATGGAGCTAGCGAAGAGTGATCATAAGCGAAGGGAGAATCCTGTGTCTCCTGAATACATGGTTACGGTTAACGAACCGGAGAAGATTGAGAGGCTTAATCATGCTTATGAGGTTCATCTTCTTGCGTTTATCCACAGCTCATCTCGATTTCTTCGGCCACAGTACCTGTAGGTTGTCTACAGAATACGGAGAGCTTTTGTGGAGAGATTCGTTATGCCAGAATGCGGCTCTGTTTCTCATGATTTCGTGGTGAAGTTCGTTGATGGGATTCAAGGTACATAGTTCATGCGTTTGGCGTCCAGTGTTGCTTTCTTTTCCTACGGACAGGATGATTGGAGATATGCTGAGATGAAATGTATCGGGGACCGCGCAAGTTGTTGAAGATTTGCCAGTGGTTCTACTTCTACACGAGGTACGATGTCATGGAAGAGCAGGTTTTGTGCATTTATGTTGGATGATGTGTTTCAATAGCCCAAATCTGCACAAGTTTGGCAGTGAGCCTTCCCTGATGATGTGTTAGAGTAGATTGAAGAAGAAAAGAAGTACGTCTAGATAAATGATTTGATATGGATACTTTAATCCACATTTATAGAACCGTTTGATGTGATGAGGTCCACAATGCCTAGTTCATGCTGGGAAGCTTCATCACGCGTTCTTCTATCTACTCTCTGAAAAACACTGCCAATGTGAACCTCTTTAGTCAAGACTGGGAGCGACAATGCCCGATATATCTCTCATAGTGCATGAAGTTATGCATACTTGTACTTTGTATATGTCGAAAAGGTGGTAAATTGACGACCCACCGTGGCAATTTTGACCGACTATTCTACCTTCCTACCGCTACCTTGTATGATGTCATTAGAATGATTCTATTAACAGGTGCGAGGGTATGAGATGGAGAAGCTGGAGGTCTACAGTCTAGCTTTACGATGGCAGTATATACTTCTTACGGATAGCTTTGAATGTGTTCATGGTGATGGATTAAGAGTGGAGATTAATTGGTTTCCACCTCTAGGTATCGACAAAAGTAAGTTCCATCGGATTTCCCTGTCGCCACGGTCCCTTGTCACCGGGAACGGCGTGGCTGACCCATGACCTCGTTGGCCAAAGGTGCAGACAGATAGTTGTTGCCCTTCCATATACAGGCTGAATTATATGGTGGAAACCATGCAGCAAATACTAATACAATCGAATTTTCAGAAAGACAAATGCCACTTAGTTCCGAATCATCGTAGTGTCCGAGACCGTGTATATTAGGGTGCTGAGTGCAATGAGATGCTCATGCATTTGGGCACCCTGGCGTTACACCAGGGCGATCATAGAGTTGCAAATGCGAAATGCGTTTACCTCCGGTTGTTCTGGCGCATGCCCAGGATCTGGACCATACGGACGAAGATGTTGATGAAGTCCAACTCAAGGCTGATACTCTCGTTGACGACATCCTTGCGGACCAAGCCTCTCTGAGCCATGCGAGCGTGGTGGAGGATCTTCTGGACATCATAGAGGGTGAAACCACCGAAGACAGCGAGACCACCGTACAGCCAGATCTTCTCAGACCACATCAGAGCGCGGGTGGCAGTAGCGGGGAGGACAAGAGGAGCGAAACCGGAGAGAGCGACAATGGTCACACCAGCGAGCAGAGGAGCACCAAGGTACATGTACTTCTCCTGCTTAGCAGTGGCACCGACGAAAGCGATGGCACCCATCATTCCAGCAGTGTAAAGACCAGCGCGAGCAAGAATAGCCGGGTGCATGAACATCAGGGGAGACAGGAGCGCAGCCTGGGTGACGTTGAAAGCGGCCCAGAGACCATACTTCATGACGTAGCTAGTGACTTGTCAGTAGACTGTCAAATAGGAAAAAGAATACGTTGGTGCAAGCACTTACTTGTCAGGGTTCGTGTAAAGAGTACCATACATGGTTCCGATGCTGGCAACCAGACCAAGACCGATGACAGCCCAGGGGCTAGCAGCCATCAAACGGTAAGACCATCCGTTGGTGTGCAGAGCGCGAGCAGCGATACCAATGATACCAATACCAAGTCCAGTGTGCATAAACGTCTCGTTCAGGTAGCTGCGCTCAAACGGAGGCATGCCACCATCCTCTCTGGTTTCGCGGTTGAAGATGAAGTTCGTAGCCAGGATAGTACCACCAATGATGGTGGCGCCGTAGATCAGCTTCTGGGTGATGTTGCCACCCTGAACATTGTAGGAAGGCTGCATGTAGGTGCGACGGAAAGCATTTTGGAAGGTCTGACGGGACTTTGCGAAGATGGAGATGGGACCGGTAGGCTTAGACTGGGGCTTGAAGGGCGTGTTGTGGATGAAACGGGCGCTATTCGCAGGTTTGGAGATTTGCCGAAGCGCCGTAGGAACGGCGAACGGGCGTCGCAAGAAGAACGCCATGATTGTGACGATGATGTCGAGGTTGTTGGAGATGAGGAGAAGCGATGGAGAGCGGCGGATGGCCGGCTATAAGAATGATATCAGTCATCCGCCGGCCAGCCGCTACGGTCGCCCGAACGTTCGAGAAGTGAAGTCACGTGGGTGATGAGCCCGCCGTGAGTCAGCATCACCGCCTCGGCGATAAGTTGGCGGGGGAGGGGAATTATCAGGATTTAGGACTTAACGGACTTGCACGGCCACACTGCTATTGTCATCATCTCGGCCCGGAATTCTACAACTGCGTACTCTCTTCGATTTCGTTCTCGATAATTCCCTTTTGGATTTCACCTCTGCGTCACTATTCCCATCATGTCTGCGCCATTATTAGAAACGATACACCTTTCGCATCTGCCTCCGTCGATGCCCGTGCATGTCGCTCTTTATCGGGACGTGCAGAATGCTCCGTATCTTCGCCAGCAGCTCATGTCCGCCAATGCGGAATTTGAGTATGCTTTCATTGATGCAAGCACGGTACGAAGTCAGTAGGTCTCTCGGCGGAGCGACAGCTAAACATACTGCAGGTCATCTCAAGAACACACCTTCTCTCCGCAGTTTTCAGAGCAGTCAATGATTATATGAACGGCCGCCTCAAGTCTCGGAATGTGCATTCTGAGATGGTCTTTTCGCTAAGCCCCGCGACAAATGTACGTCTACAATCAGCTACCAACCGACTTCATGGGCAATGCTGACTACATCTAGATTGCTGAATCTTTCCGCAAGTTCGGCATTACCGATTCCACAAAAGACTTGCTAGTAGTCAAGCTTTCCGTGACTCCGGAGATTACCCACGACTCGGTCGCAGCCCATCTCGGACAAAATGTTGAGGGAACGCCTGTGCCATTCGACGACGAAACTCTGTCAAAGATCTCTGACATTGCAAAAATCAAGAAGGCCTACAAGCTGGGAGCGTTGAACACTACGCCGCCGAACCAAGCCAACGGCACCCAGGATAATGGCATGCGCCGGCTTGAACTGTCCGTTCTGGGAGCGATTGCTCTGCGGGGAGCGACTTGAACATGATTTTGGAGATAAGAAGTTTTTATCATACCCGATCTCGCTCGTTTGGGTAACCAAAGCCCTGTAAATCGGGCCAGCCATATGCAGAATGTCTGCACCATCCGACAGTCAGAACTTCTGGCCAATGCCGTTTCGAAGCATCTGCGCCCAGGAGCTACCTCTGTGCAGACAGATGTCTGGCAAGAAATACCCATGCAAGATTTGTCTATAAGAATCACAATCTGTACATAGAACGCAGGGCCGTCATTCACAGAGTCAGTGCGGAGCACTGATTGCGGCTCTTTTTAACAATAAAACAATACTTTAGAAGATGCTATGTGCTCTATATTCCATTCTATATATAATCCAAGTAATACACCTCCTTAATGAATCAAACGAAGAACATACCTCGGTTGCCCTGCCCACCGCATCCCCCATCCCAAAGCGGCAATCATGCAACTTTGCCAAGCCCGGCAACTCTCTCCGCATCATCGCGACTGAATCGATCTAGACACCCACCGTCCGGGGCTCACGCATATAGCATAGCACCATGCTCACTAGCGCAGGGGGGAATCGTTTTTAGCGTACAACACTCGCCAACCCAAACGTGCGCTAATGCCGACCAAGCGATCACCCTGATATTCGTTGCGACTCGCCACCATGTCCGCCACCGCGGAGGTCCTGGTGCTTTCCTCGTCGCCGGAGCGCAATCCAGTCCACACGCCAGCGCCGCCTGCATATGATCCCGAAAAGTTATTTGGGCTGTCTCCGGTAGACGTCGAAACGACTCCGATACCGTCTCCGTCCGAACTGTTTTGTCCTCCGACGCATTCTAGGTTTTTCGAGGTTGGGAATCGAGTCGATGAATCGCGCCGCAAGGGATCCCGCAAGAACTCTAGCAACTGGACGAATGACGAATCGGCTTTTATAACGCTAGAGGAAGAACCGGCGTCAGATAAACCCAAGCGAAGGGGTAGGCCAAAGAAGGAGCAGAAAAAGGCTACGGAGGAGTCGGGGTCTGTCGCGGGTAACCAGAAGACCACTGCGAAGAAGGCTACAACAGGCGCGAGTAAGAAACGCGCTGAATCTGCGGCGAAGCGCTCGAAACCGGTGAATAAGACGATCTCTGGGAGGGTTGCGAAGGCAGGCAGTTCGCAACCAAAGGGGGCTGGCGAGAAGGCCATTTGTCCGTCGACGCCACCAGCTGTTCTGTCCAAGAAGACTACGAAGGATGTGAATGATTGGGAGAGAGATGGTTTACAGCTTGAACAAGCGATGACAAGGAGATTGGACTGGACACCTACAACAAACAAGGCCAAGGAGGTCGTTCAGTTGGAAGGGAAATCAGGGCCAGATGATATTACAAGGGGCTTTGGTAACCTGTTGTCAGAGTATGGGTTTAATGGGCCTGCTGCTTCAGCAAGCGACTATGTGCCTTCTAATAATGGTGGACCGACGAAGCGAAGGCGTATAGAGCTGGTTGATCCCGGAGTATATCCTACTTCCAGACAAAGTGTTGCCGACGATAGTGAGAAGGATAGCACAGAGGGAACATGCAAGCCAACACGGGCTACTCGAAAGAAACCCACGCAACGTGCCAAGAAATTCACCACACTCACTGCCCGCGTGACAGCGAAGTATATCAACGAGTCTACAGAAGGTTCAGATGTCGTGGAGGAAGAGACACCAAAAGCGAAGCCTAGAGCTTCACGATCCAAGAAAAAGGGCCAG